AAAAACCTCATGATGACTGTGGAAGATGTGATACAATGTTCTTCTTCGTGATGATAAAGATAAAAACGTCATTGCGAGGATGCGATAGCATCCGTGGCAATCCAGATATACACTCAACTTCATGATGACTGTGGAAGATGTGATACAATGTTTTTCTTCGTGATGACAAAAATAAAAACGTCATTGCGAGGATGCGATAGCATCCGTGGCAATCCAGGCATACACTTCACTTCATGATGATAAGATTCGTTATAAATTTCTTATTTCTTAACTGCAGCTCGGGTTAAATTAGTTTTGTGATTGCTAAAAAACCTAAACTCTAGATAAGAATTTTTGCTATATATTGCTAACTTCTTATCTAAAGCTAGGATTAAAATATTGATAAATCCCAAGATGGAAACTCAGAAATTTTATACAATCTATAAAGTTACTGAATTCCCATAATTTAAGTAATTAGTATACGCATATTAACCAATACTGTATATTAATTCACTATCACTTACAAAAGGATTACTGTAATACAATTCTGAATCCAGATCTATAGAATCAAAAGCAGTATTATCATTACTGGAATCTAATTCTAAATCTGATTTACTATATTCTAAAACAGTATCACTGATAGGCTGCTTAGTAATATCTTTATACACTCCTTTAACTATTGTAGGTAGTATTTCTGTTGCAACCTGATACATACCTGAATGTAACTGACCAGCCCCGAATTTAGTTATTCCAAAACAACCTTCTAATACTTTGTTTAGTGAATTAGTAAAATTGTTATCACCAATCATATTTTTTTCTATAGATATTGATTTATTCAATGCAAAATCTCTGATAACCTTTGGAACAAAGAATTCATATCCTAATCCTACTTGCCCCATCAGTATAATTTTAGCTACATAAGACGGCATAATATAACTATATGCATCAACTATAAGACTCATATCAGAAACTACTCCTCCATATACATTAATTAATTGTTCAACAGCAGATTTAGCATTTACAACACTCATACTAGAATATACTGCAGTTACTGCTGAGTACAATCCACTTGCTCCAGCACTAATGCCATAAGATACTGTACTAGTTACTGCTGAGTACAATCCACTTGCTCCAGCACTAATGCCATAAGATACTGCTCCAACTGCAGAATGTAATTTATTAAATTTAGTCATAACAAACCTCTTAAATAATTGTTTTACAATTATCATTATATTGATCAAATGTTACAATTACGTTAAGACTTTTAAGAAAAATGTTAAGATTACGTTAAAGTTTTTGCTTTTTATAAAATTTTTTGGTAACAGCACGCATATAGAACTTACTTTTTCCAATTCTTAATTTAGAATAAGATAAATATAAACATCTAAAAAATTTCAAATCCTAAACAGTCCTACAATAAAAATTTCAGATGAATCTTTATAACTTGCTTCTGGTTTAAAAAAATGAACATTTTTAAAATGCTTCCTCAATTTATTATAAAACTCTTTATTTTTATTGCCTTCAAATAGTTTAATAATCATATGTCCATTTTTAGACAGAAATTGTTGTGAAAAATCAAATACAGATTCAGCCAAATTCATAATGTTGATATGATTTAAACTTCTAGTACCACTTGTGTTTGGAGCCATATCACTAAGAATTACATTACACTGATTATTTTGCATAGT